CTTCGGCCCTATGCTACACGAGACATCACCTGGGTCAAGGTACAAGGCATTACATTTGCCAGTGTCTACCGGCCATGTGACAACCCACAGGAAGTGGATGACATTCTGGAAGTATGGACTCCACCTTTTGGCTGCGTTATAGCTGGAGATTTCAATGCTGACGACACATCCTGGGACTCAAGCAATCCAGGATATCATGGTGGTGCTATACTTGCACAAACTATGGCAGACCACGGACTGGATCTGATTTCTGAACCAGATGTCCCGACACATGATGACGGAAATGTACTAAATCTGGTGTTCTCTGATGTCCCCATGGCTGAAGCCTCAGTCAATGATGCACTTCAGTGCACCTCAGATCATGAGACATTACGAATAGTCATTCCAATCCAGGGAGATCTGGACCGAGTACCCAAGGCCAATCATTGGATAGTACTGGACGATAAACTACAGGAGCTGGCAGATAATGTCCAAACCAGGATTCATGAACTCCCCCGGCTGGGTGTATCCCCTGGCCAGGTAGACACCTTTACACAAAGCCTGATCAACATGATCCAAGGGCTCCCACAAGGCTCACCAGTCTCTCCAATCCTCTACATGCTGTATACAGAGCCAATCTGTGCCCGACTTGGCATGAAAAGAAGACGCTTTGGATATGCAGATGACCTAGCAACACTCTGCATTGGAAAGAACCTTGAAGAAACAGCTACAGAGGCTTCTGAAAACCTTCATTTGCTCAACCAATGGGGATATAACAATGCTATTGAATTTGATCCCGACAAAACCGAGATCATGCACTTCTCACGGAAAAAGAACTCAGACAATCCCCCAGTTTGCCACGGAACAATGAACAAAACAGCTAAGCATTCCATGCGATGGCTAAGTGTCCTTCTGGATAGGAAACTAAACTTCAAAGACCATGTTTCTCACTGGGCCAAGAAAGCTAGTAGGGTAGCAAATCACCTTCGAGGACTATGCAACACAGTCAAAGGACTTCCAGTAAAGTCAACCAAGAGGGCTGTGAAAGCTTGTGTTATTCCTATTCTCACACATGGCCTGGAGGCCTGGTACCCAGGAATCGAGAAAGCTGGGAGCTTAGGTGAGACATCAGCATGTCGCATTAAGGGGCTTCTTGGAACAATAAATACCGTACTACGAACGGCGATCAGGGCTATCTTGCCAGTCTGGAAAACACACCCTGGACATATCTTACACTTTGAATCGCAGATTCCCCCAGCAGGAGTTCTTGCAGAGTCAATAAGACGACGTCACGGCCTCCGACTAGGACGAATAGATCAGAGACACCCTCTGGTTGGCAGGCTCCAAATACAAGCTCGCAAGGATCCAACAAGGCTACAAAGGAGCTTCCAGCTAGTCCCTGACTTCCAGAGACCAATACTTACCAGGCCATCATGGAAGAAGCGCCCAATCCGCAAAGACAAAGACAAAGAAACAGAGCTCTTTAAGCAATGGTTACAAGAGAGAAACGTGAACACTGACCTTGTCATCTACTCAGATGGATCACAGTTGGATGACCAAGGCACAATCCGCACTGGATGGGGTTATACCATCAGGAGAGGCGGCACTACACAAGAAGTATACCGGGGAAGGGGCAGACTTCTACAAGCAGAAGTAGTAGATGCTGAAGTCCATGGTGCTCTCCAAGGTCTTGCAGCAGCCAGGGCAATTGGACACGGAAAACAGCTATATGTCTGCCTGGACAACACGTCAGTGGTAAATGGGCTCAATGGGACTCCACCCGAGACATCACAAAACATTTTTCTACGATTTCAAGAACTTGCCACAGCACACACTCCTGGAGTGACCGTCAAATGGATTCCTGGACACAGAGATATTGATGGCAACGAAGCTGCCGACACACTAACAAAAGAGGGTGCCATGCTAGAAACAGACACAACAAATCTTCCTATAATCTCTTGGGTCAAGAGAGATCTCAAAAGACAGGGCAAGAAAGAGTTCAACCAATGGTAGAAAGACCAATCAGAATCTAGGTATCAAGAAGTATACTCACATACAATAACTAAAAGAGACCTTATATCTTTTAAGAGGAGTACTTTACACAGACTTCTAGCGGCCAGATCTGGACATGGCGACTTTGCCAGATACCATGAACGCTTTGGGCACACAGACTCAAATGATCACTGCAGCTGTGGTGAGAAGAAAACACCACAACACATTTTCTTTTGTAAGAGGCTGGGGAAAAATCGGCTACTGCCTAGGCATTCGCCTAGGGCAGCTTGTTTACAATACTTAAGGGAGAGGAGCACAGAATGGACAAAATTCGTGGAGAAGAGCAAGTTCTTTTCAACAATCTGCCCCCGATAGATAGCCTTCCTTAAAGGACCAGATGGATGACCCCAAGGTCATACCGCCGCAACAACGGGGATGGGCCCGTGAGCGGGACTGACTGTACTTATTATCTTGAGACCTCCACAACCCTGCGATGCAGAGGCTCTGGGAGGCGTGGTTTGCACTACTGAGGAGCTACCCCCACGTTAAATACAAAACAAACAAACAAACATCATCGTCTCGCTATTAAACGCAGTCTTTCTCTGTGCCCTCGAGACCATCATCGTCACCGCTATCCCCACCATCACGGACGAGTTCACCAGCCTTAACGACATCGGCTGGTACGGCTCGGCCTACTTTATGGCCACCCAACAGGGGTAATAACCTAGCCTAGCACGCCCTGAATGCCCTGAGGGAGGATAAGGATAGCCGCTACGCGGCGGTCCTCGGGCGTTAAATACTACTGCTACTACTGTCGGTTTTATAACGCGGCAAATACTAGACTTGTTCTGGCCACCGCGTAGAAGCAACTAGGTAAGCTAGGTAGTTGAAAATTGGTGAAGTGGAGACGGTGATATTTCGAATCCATGACCGTGACCGTGACACCTTTTAGGGCGACTGTTGGACGCGACAGAGCAGAACGGTCTGGCACAAGCACCATTTAGACTTGTGGGTAGGAAGTGGACGGCGGGAGGTAACGAGATTATGGGCCGGAAATACCGTATGTCCCACTCTACGCATGTAGCAACTCATACCAAACATCTCCTCGAGTTTGCACGAGCTGTGGGCCCGACCAAGCGGCATTGCATCCGAGAAACTGGTTTCGAGGAGGATGAGTGATCCAGAGTGACGTACTCGCGTGAAATTTGTGTCGAATATTGTCAAACAGAGCGTGGGGGCTTTTAGATGGATAAAAACGTATATTTTGGTGTAATTCGTGTTGTTGTTGTACCTGTATGAAAATCCTGCTGTGGGCTAAGTGGGTGTGACTATCAAGGCACTGCCACCTCCTATGGTTAGGCAAAATCATCTTCTGTGAGCCCGATAAGGATGCTCTTCGCGGAGGAGTATCTTCAGCTTCATACCAGGATGTCCTCGAGGAACGGTTCCTTCCGTTCTACGAGGCTGTGGATCCTTTTATGCAAGAAAACGCTCGCATCCATCGATTTGGAGGTACTCCAGAGTGGCTAGAGGAACACGGCATCTGGACGATCGACTGGCCTGCTCACAGCCCTGATTTGAACCCGATCGGGCACATTTAAGCACTTCTAAAGAAGCAGATACGGAGAATCGAGCCTGGATTCGCTGATTTGAAGGCTAATATTGCCCACGAGGCATATGCCAGAGAGTTAATCGAAAGGGCGTGGTCAGAGATCGATCCTGAGGATGTACGCGTTCTCATCGAAGCTCTCGGCAACCGAATCGCCGCAGTGAAAAGGGAAGGTGGCTGATACACACAATATTGAATGGCCTATACAATATTTTTTTTTCCATATCATTACAGTGAGAAATGGGTGCGTGGTGAATGCTGAAAGTTGGAGGGTGTAGGCATTAAGGGCAGCTCGAAAAGTGGTCCCGGAGACTTCTGGCCGCGGAGTGTACCTCTCGGACGAGAATGGGAAGACTCAGGAGCCAGGAGAATCGGGCAGAGTTTCACCGCACACTCGTATGAATACAGCATGTTTAGGAGCTGCTGTAGGCGCTCTCCGCTGCCGTGACGGCGCGCGCACGCGAGCCTTTCGCGAGCGTCATCGTCTGTGAGCTCGATACGCTTAGCAGCGCGCCATTTCTTCAAGTTGTTGCCTGCGATGAAGCACCGGAGGGTGGCAGGGCTCGCCGGCGTACCCCCTTGCGTTCTGAGGCTCTGGTATGTGATCCGAGGAGCCACAAGCCGCTGACGTGGCAGCTTCAGGAGATTTATGCGCAGACGGAAGGGGTCGCAACCTGTTGGCAGTGTGGAGGTGCCGTGAACAATGATGTTTTTGGTATTAGATACTGCTACAGCTGACAGCGCGGAAGGCCTGATCTAGCCACAAGGCACGGGCCACGTGACCTCCAATACATGGTCATAGAGAAGTTTTCCGACCTGAGATAAGACGAGACAGCTAAAGGCTAGAGAAGGAGTGGTGTCCATTTTCTGTTCGCCATCTGAATGTTGGTGCCCAGCCGCTGCCGCGGAATCGGGCCCGATCGTCGTCACCCGGGTTGTCCATGTAGGTCGAATCGTGGGCTCCGCAACCGGCTACGACCATCGGGACGAAGAAGACGAGCGCATACAGCACGGCCGGCCTGCCAGCGCTCGAGAGGATGGAGATCTATTTCGGGACCTTGCTTCCAGATATATTGCAGTCAGTATCAGCTCTTCATGTATGGGGCAATATCGCCTCTGTGGTTCCCAGCAGGCCAACGTTCTACATGCAGCTATATGTTACTCATTTCGATCCGTATCTCGGCCCTACGGGTTAATGGTGCAGTCGCTGCTTCTGGGCTGCTTTTATGATCTTGGAACCGTATCGTGGCCGAACATGGAGTAAATCAGTCTCAGTGTCTGACAGCAGGAGGTCATCGTACATATAGAACCATTCAGTCTTGCCATAGTCAGAGAGAAAGTAGCCCGACATATTATGCATACAGTCAATATTCCCCTGCGGCGTCAGAAATCACCGCCGCCGTTCTGCTACATAACAGCCATGTCTACCCTCCAGCCCCACAATGCTGATTTCCATCCCCATTCTTCGCGCCTTGCAGAAAGCTACGTGATACCCACTAGCGTCTTTCTCCGTACGATTCAGGAGCTCGATTCGCGACTTCAGAATGCACAGCACCAAGTCTGGCTCAACACAGTTGAAAATGTAAAACTGCGAGAACAGCTGGGCAGATTGACGCATGAGAAGGAGAAGCTCCAGCGCGAGCTAGAAGTACAAGAACAGGTTATCAACACGCAGCAAAGGCTTATCTCGGTTTTGGAGACATATCAAGCGGAAAATCCTACGGGTCTACAGTCACTCATCAACTCTAACAACACTGTATCCAGAGTTGAACTCCCTGATTGCGAGACCCCACCATCGCAGCTCCCGATATCAGTATCACCACCCTTTCTTATGCCCGAATCGTCAACACTGTCAGCAGTACAATCCTCGTGGGGGAACAGCGAAATGGGGTTGACGGAATTGGAGGAGGCAGTAGCGCAGAGCGCTGGCAGCCACGGTAAGAGAAAAGCGCAGACGGAGGAGGGCAGGGATAACAAGCGACAGAAAGTATAACATACGTTCTAGCGAAGTGATGTCTTGAAGCGTCATTTCCAGAATGGTCAGTTCGTTGAGGAACCCACTGGGGCAGGTTAGGAGATAATAGACATAATCCCGTGGCTGTGGTGGGAACTGTGGTTATCAGCGACCATGTCCCGTCCTAGGCGGTGTAAATGTTGAGCAAGGTCGTAGCCAGGCCCAATTCGTCCACGGCAGACTGCGCGTGCTTGAAATAGAGTATATACTCGACGACGTATTTACAGCACCCACCGCAGCAACACAACATAGGTACTCACTCTCGCGACGCGTCCGGCCTCAGTCGGATTCCGTGTCCGCGTCTGCATCGATATCCATCTCATCGTCGTCCTCATCACTTTCTGTCTCTTTCCCCTTCCCATCTCCACTCCCTTCCCCTTCTTCCGCCGCCGAATCTTAGCCCTCTGCTTAGCATGCGCCACCTCAGCCATCTCATCTGGTCCTAGGCGTTTGCGAACGCATTCGATTCGGAGTCAGGGGTGATGATGACGTCGTACTCCTCTTTCACCGGAACCCGAGGCAGCGCCTGGTAACTGTATCATGCCTATTGGGTCACCGTGCTCCTCGCCTAGACGCTTAATCTGGCTGCCATGTGTATCTCTCTTCCTTAGTTCATGAGCTGGGAGGGAACACACCGTGCACATACAATCAGACCCAAAATTCTCCTACAGCGCCGCGTGGCGCTGTCGCAATCCTGCGGTGGCTGCAGTCAATGAGGATCTCTGATCCGGCAGGGTGGGGCACCACGAGAGTGCTGCAAAGACAAAGGCAGCCCAGGAACCAAACTTCAAGTCCACATCAACCACTTGCGTCTCGTTTATAATGGGAGGCAACTGGCCAATGGCGGCGGCGTGGCTACTGTCTCCATGACGCGGTTGATCTGCCTGCGGCTTCTCCTTGCCCTATCTCCGCGTGGCCGAACCCTACTCGGAAAATGATCTGAGGTGTCGGTTTGCCTCCCTTACTCCCGCCCCTTTCCCAATCCTTAGTCGCCTCTTCAACTATTGCCTCAAGACGTGTCTGCCTCTCTTCCTCTCTTGCCGATAGTAATAACTACAGTTCTAGCAAGGGCGCTTGGTTTATCAAGCTCGTAGCTGCCCCTAGGGGCGAACATTGAGCCTATATTGACAGACTGAATAATAAACAAAGGATACCCGCACCAGCAAGTCTGCAGACTTGGATCTCTAACTCTTATTGTGGCAGAATAGTTTAGACTAATGAGCTACTTACTAAGTACAAAGCCAATGTGACTCCCGATGCTGCCAGTGATCATGTCCCTTGTTACTGTGACGGCCTGCACCTTATTTTTAGAATTATTTTTCTTGGCGCCCACTGTTAGTGGGTAGCCTACCCCAGCCAGCCATTACGCTAACAGACGCCTCCATCTGGCCAAAACACCAAACCCCGGATCTCACGATCCTCGCTATGGCTCACCAGCCATTAGCTGCCGCTGTCCCTGCGACTCCTCCCTTGGGGGACAGCGCAGCGCAGCGGCCACCCCCGCCCCTCAGCTCAGCCGGGTGTCTGAGATCGCTCCACACGCGGAGAACTTCAACACGATGGGCCCCAATCCCGACGGTGCTTTTAAGAAGGGATAACAAGGACAAGAATAACGCTGTCTCTGGAGCAGCCTCCACCCCCATCAGCCTCTTTTCAAAGCCTGATGGTCTCAGTGCCTCCATACACGCTACCCAGGCCCAAAGCTCGGCCCTACAAGCCCTGCACCAAGCAGTAAATGAACGACGCCGCAAGGAGAAAATTCAAACGGATATCCTGGAACTCGTCGCCAGATCCCTCGACACAGTCATCGCGACCGTGGAAAAGGACCCAGAACAGCTGGCCTACGCCCAACAGATAGCCACCAGTTTCTCCCAGTTCCTCCGCACGAGCGTACTCGCCAACAGCGAAGGACAGGAGCCGGCAGCAACAGAACCCCTGCCCGGAAAAAGAGGTGCCCCAGCGCACCCCACCGCAGTCCCAACAAAGACCACAAACAACCCCGTACGACCTACGTATGCAGGCGTCACGGCGAATGGCAACCAGCCCCAAGCAGCTGGAAACGGCCCTGGGAAACACCCCGGGACCAGACTGCCGATGCAGAAAGAAGACCTCCGCATCTTCATAAGGCTCCCAGAAAACCAGCTCGGCTGGTCGAGAACTATCAGCACATACGCCCTTAGGAAAACTATCACCAAGGAGCTGAACCTCGTGGCTTCCGATGTGGCAGATGCACACAGAATCCCTACCGGCTTGTCTCTTCGACCAAGGGATAAAACTGCACAAGGAAAGATCCTAGCACAAAAGGCAAAACTAGCTCAGCTCACAAAAGCCTCTGCAGTAGAACTACCCGTCAAGTGGCACACTTATGCCCTCCCGAGCTGCCCAACTAGACTTACCAACATGGAACTTGAAGACGTGGAGATCACATCCGAAATGACCCTAGATGAATGCGAATTCCAGACTGGCCGCCGCCCGGTAAACGCACACATATCAAAAAACGGTCCTAACGAGTCCGGCCAAGTCACATGGCTAGTATCGTTCATCGAGAAGGTAGGAGCCTTTAAAATCTTCGGCCTCCATTCAAGGTCTAGGCTTATCGAGAAGAAAAACCCCCCCTTGCAACATAACCCAGGATGCCAAGGTTGGCACCCTGCACGGCGGTGCGCCCGCCCAGGATAAGCATAACAGATTCGGATATGCAGACGACGTAGGCATCCGAATAACGGGCAAAACCACTACCGAGCTAGCAGCCAAGGCAGCCAGCATGGTAGACGATATTCTACGCTGGGGCCTAGACAACAAGGTCACCTTTGAAGACTCCAAGGCTGAAGCCATCTACTTTGATACTGGGAGGAGACCTCTCACACCAGAAATAACCACCCCCGGAGGCTTTAATATCAAACCAGCGCAGCCAGTGAAAGGGGCGGTGGTCCGCTGGCTGGGGATTTTCTTCGACAGATCCCTGAAGTTCCGGGAGCATGTCAAAAGACGGGCAGCCAAGGGCCTCGTCGTGGCCAGACATATTCGAAGTCTTGCAAACACCGCCAGAGGGCCCCTAGCAGCAGCCCTCCGTAAGGCGGTAATTGCATGCGTGATTCCCACCATGACCTATGGGGCAGAGGTCTGGGGGGCAGGGGATTACAAGAGAGCAGGAAACGGTCAGGCCCGGGACGTGAGCACCCGCCAGAACGGCCACTCGGACGACCTCGAAAGAGTCCTTACAGAGGCCATCAGAGGGATTCTCCCGGTCTGGAGAACTACACCAAAAAAGGTACTCTTTAAAGAATCAGGCCTACCAACGGTACAAACCATACTCAGCAAGATCCGGATGCGGTTCAGCCTGAGAATCAGAGCTATGGATAACATGCATCCGTTAGTCCGATGTGTTACAGCCCGGAACCCTACCGTGAGCAGAGGCCTGAGGGGTCTGGTCAGGACAACCGCAAGGACACGGCTCCAAAGGACGTATGAACTCACACCAGATTTCCCAAGACCGATCCTAACGGAACCAAGATATGCAACGAACGCTAGCAAAGCTGTTGTAACAAGAAGCAAAGCCGAAGAAGCCAAAGTCTTCACAGACTGGCTAAAATCGCTTCCGCCTTCACACATAGTCGCCTACTCTGATGGCTCGAAATCCCTGGAAGGGGCGGTGGGCTATGGATACGTGATCTATAGAGGCCGGACAAACGTAGCCTCGGGCTGTGGCAGACTGGGCCACCCAGCTGAGGTCTTTGACAGTGAGGCCAAAGGGGCCCGCCACGCACTCAGACAGGCCCTGAGGCTCAGCAGCGGCGCCACCATCCACGTGTGCCTGGTTAATACAGCAGTGATCTCCGGACTGTGGGGGGAACCAGCTCAGAGCTCCCAAGAAGCTTTCCTAGAATTTCACGAAATCTCGGACACGTATGCCGACGTGCAGGTCCGGTGGGTGCCAGGGCACATGGACATCCAAGGTAACGAAGAGGCCGACGAAAAGGCAAAGGAAGGCACTACCTTGACAATCCCTACTGAGGCCAAACCTATGTTTGCAGGCGTCTTAGGCCTTCTGAACAAAAGGATTCAAAGCAAACACCAGCAATGGTGGGACAAGAACATCATCGACAAATACAAAAGTCTCGGCCTTCAATAAACCACGCTCAAGTGCCAAGAAGAGCTCAAGCTTAACAGGCCAACGCTCCACAGGCTTATCGCATCTAGAACTGGCCACGGCGACTTTAGCTGGTACCATAGGAGGTTTAAGCACGAGGAACACTACAACTGCTCTTGCGGGAGAATCAAAACGCGAGCCCACTTTGCCTTCTGCAACAAGGCCCTCGCAAAACGGTCTAGGTGGCCACGAAGGAACCGCGGACACAACGGAGAACCCGAACCAGAAGGGAGAGCCTATTGGAAATGGCTGATAACGCACCCAAAGGAATTCGGAGACTTCTGCAAGTGGACAAAATTATATACGAAAGTCTGTCCTAGAGTCACAGAACATCAGTTCATTGACAACCAGGCGTAACCGCGCCTGTTATCACATCTTGATTACTCCTGACTTTTTTTCCCTACATTTTCATTTTCTTCTAGCTTATAGCCTTTTAAACGCAAGGCATTACCATGTTAAAGCGAGAGGAGCTCCTCGACGCTATTCGGACTACCGACTACGAGCCAGATATCACAGAGCACGAGCCCAAATGGCGGGGCCAACGGAAACTGACGGAATGACATGTGTGCCCTCGAGGTTAGATTTGCAGGTTATCGTGGGAAATAGGGTGTCATGCTGTTGCGTGGTCACGTGACCCACTTGGGTTGGCATATTGCCCACATCCACTGCAGCTACGCACCACCTCCATCCATGCCTTCCACATAGCAGAATACCACAACATTGCAGTATTGTCCTGCAACACATGCCCTGCTTCCCGTACAGTAAGGCTTGTATATTAGCCCCTGAGATAGTCACCTGCACGCCAAACGTCCACAAGGATTTAGAGCCTAGAGCCCCTACGGCATTAAATAAACTAAACTAAACCAAACTCACACTCTTAGTGCGGCTTGGTGGAGGGAAAACATGCGCCTGACGAGCTACGGATACTATTTGGCGGAACAAAGTCAACAGTTCTTGTTCAACTCCACTCTCTACCACGAGAATCAGCCATGGAGAGACGTTCGTCGTCGCGGGTGTTCCAAGGCCCATCCATGCAGCGATACGGCGTGCCACGCTCTTCAACCCTCCAAGGTCATCAGCAAAAAGACAAACGGCATCAGCAAAGGGGAGCAAGATCCGGTGATACATATGATCGGCGATTTCGGTCGCACTAGCCTGTGCTAGATTTGCGGGAATCGATGGGCTGATAGATTCGTAGTCAATTCTCGAGAAAAGTGGCCAGTCTTTCGGTACAGATGCCTACGATAGCTTCCTGGCCGCGCTTCTGCTCTCTTTCGCGCAGACGTTTCCGGATCGGCAGGTTCCCACAGTCTGGAACCAAGAACACGAGAGAGCGTCGCTGGATTTCCAGCATGATGTCTCGGAAACCGTGGGGTGGTTTACATCACTCTGCCCTATTTTAACCAGCGTGTTGCCGACTGATGATATCTTGTCGGTCCTGTATCATGTCCAGGATACTCGCCAAGCCATGGTTAGCAAAGTTGCACCTTTCTTCGCAGCAAGCCTGTCGGACCCCGGCGAGTGAGGCCAGTACGGCAGCTAAAGAAAGTTCGCCAGGAGCAGCAACATACCCAAAGATGTCAAACTATAGCGATATATTAGCACAGCCGCATGTCTCAGATTCTACGGTTGACTGTGGGCCGAGTTCATCCCCAGAAGTGCCCGACATGGCCGAGAAGCTCGAGGACACAGCTACGCGAACACCACCTCAACATCGGAGGAAGCGATACAAAATATATCAGAAGGAGCGGGTCAGCCGATGGATCGTCCCAAGCTTCTTCTCATCACTTAGCAACCGTGTAGCTCCTCCCCAGGAATGGATCAGCTCGGACCTGTCCGTACCTACCCATCATAGCAGTCAGGGTGCTGTGACAAGTCTCGATCGGAACCAAGAGGCCAGCCAGATCCGTTCGGAAGAACAGGCCCCAGTTTTTGAGCAAGATGGCGATAAAGATGGTCACGGCAAGCCACTCGCTCCATATATAACGGTGACTACTTCTGGCAATTTCAGATGTAACCATCCGGATTGCATGAGGATGGGGAGGAGAGCTTTCCAGAGGCAGGAACACCTGCAACGACATAAATTGACGTAAGTATAAACACAGTCATACCACCCGTACCTGGTTGACAATGTCGTTAGCGTCCACGAGGAAAAGGTCACAGTCGCTTGTCCATTTTGTAACCAGACTTGCAACCGAACAGACAATTGGCGACAACACTTCAAGCGACATTGCAGACAAGGGAACAGAGGTACCCGGGTAACATTTCATCCTGAAGCCCCGGAGTTCCTGGCGACCGAGATGAGAAAGATCGCACGGCGCCGTCCGCACAGCCACAAGGAAGCAAAGGGGTGAAGGGCGATGACGATGTTTCCTGGGACCGCAGAAGATCATCGCCTCAATTGGCATTACGCGAACCCGCCGGTAAATGAGGAGTGGGTGGGGATTGGAAGAGGGTGGTGTGGGGCGAGCAAGGGAGGGATGAAATAGTCAGAACTGCGAATGAATAATTGTTGGATTCAAGCGAGTTCAGTGATTGGAGGGTGATTCTTCGTGTATTGCATGTAGTGTCCTGTATCTGTTCTGTCTGTTCAGGTGCCCCTGATCGGTTCCCAGTTTGGTGCTGGTCATCTCCGCCGTACCGTGGTTTTTCCGGTCGGACTCGGCTCATCTTCATGACCCCTGTTATCCAACAGAATCCAACAGTATGCTGCGAGACACACGACTTGTCTTCGTTTGAGCCAACACTTGGACCAGACAGGGTACACTCAGGTCGTTTCTATCATAGAAGAAGATTTTAAAAATGGCTTTTAAATCAGTTTTATGTACTGAGTGAGTCTCAATGACGTGTGTATATCCCGTCGAGCCGTTAAAAGATCAGTTCTAAGACTTACTTCGAGAGCTTTTCTTTTCTTTTTCCCGATAACATAATGTTCGAAGGTTTCGATGTTTTAAAAAAACGAAAGAACACCTAATCGCACAATCCGGGGCATAAATGGAATACACCGAGGAAACTGTGACGGCCTGCACAGACCTTCCCACATGACAAGCCGATACCTCCCAATAAGGGAAGGATCTGACTAGAGGATCCCCTTAAAGGGACAACCTCCCGCTGTACCTAGCTTTCTCTCTCTTCCTTTCCTCTCTAGTCTTGATATTCTCGTCAATAGAGTAATAGCTGCTTGCTGCCGGCCATGTCCCAGCTCCTCAGTACGCTCGCCGTGACAGAAACTAGTACGCCAGAAAAGCATTTCCTAATTTAACATTTACAAGTTGCTCACATTCTTTTAAATGTAGTGCTACATATTACATATTTATAAAATCTGCTAAACTTATTAACTAGTGCACTTTTACTTACGTAACTCATTACAACTAAATTCGGTATTATTGTCACGGCGAGTCGCACCTAAGACGAGACAAAGCAGACGACAAGGGGGTAACCGACTCTATAGACGAAAATATCGAAGATGAAGAAAGGAAGGAAAGAGAGCTAGATACAGGTGGGAGACAGAGCTATCTAGATGAACCCCTGGCCAGGGTGTGATGTGGGGCGCAGTAGGTTGCGCTGGTGTGTGCCTTCTGTCAGATAAAAACAGATAAGAAAATCGTGCGCAGAATGACTGCGCACTTGACCCTTTTGGTCTAGGGGTAAAATTCAGCACCTTCATACTGCCCTGACAGTAATCGAAATAATATAAAATGTTTATAACTATTTAACTAGTAAGGGTGTTTAACTTTTATAAGGGGCAAAGGGGGGTTAATATCGCCCGAGAGTAGAAAAAGAGCTAGTGTGGCACTTAAATATATATACACCGATTAAAGTTAAGTTATAATTCATTAACTACATTTTATTACTTAAAGTAGTAAAAGCGCTTTCCGTATCGAGAGACGGGGATATATGGTTGTCTTGCGATAACCGTAAGCTGGAAATGGCCCCCAAGCGCAAGGATCAGCGCGCCGTTCTGCTTCTAGGTAAGTATCTCGAACTACGCAACAAACGTGTTGGCGCACGCCTGTATAGTCTAGACAAGGACCAAGGACAACTGGGATAAAATCTCGTAGACAAAGCCCCATTTCTAGCCACACATGCCGTTATCTGCCGTTCCTGGGCCCAACATTTCTTTTGTTGCCTTCTCGTAACCAGCTTCCTTATCCATTGCAGTCTTCCACTCAGACCGCTCCTTTTGCAATTGTCCGTTCCGGAGTGGATGGGGGCGCCTCCTTTGCCGCTTCCTCTTTTGTGGCTTGAGCATGCTTTCTAGCCCCAGTGCGGCCGCTTATCTATATCGTTATCGCTTCCCACCGTCCCCACCGGTCTGATAGCAGGGATTGCCAAACGCGTCACCGCGTCGCGTAAAATAATTCGACAACTCATTTTCCTCCGCCAGTTGGCACTTGGCGACATTCCCCTCCGTTTCCTTCATTTATCTACGTGGCTATCAATTATTCTGTCATCATCACGCAACCTCTTTCTGTTGCGACTGTAAGCCAATCCCGCAGCCCGATCTACGCATTCGCTCGAACAGCACTTTCCCATGTTGTCACCTAGCTTCCTCAGCAGCAATAACTCCACAACCCGCCTAACATGCCATTGTGCTGCGGCCGCTGCTGTCACGACGTCGATCGCGCCGTAGTCAGACTCCTCCCGCCCTGATTTGACGTCCTGCCCGCCATGACTAAACGCCGACGAGCAGCAGTCAACCAAGCGAACCGCAATGACACCGACGATGACCTCCAAACCCTCACACTGCTCGACCACCGCCTGCACCCGGGTGGGCAAGGTCAACTGGATATCTTAGTTCAGGCGAGGTGCCGGTCAAGCGTCAAGGCATCCCGCAGATGGGTTCCCCATGAAGATCTCCATCGCCGAAATCACAACAGTCTCATGCAGTACTGGGACAGCTTCGCCGGTAGCATTACCCATGAGCTCTCCAAGCTTTGGCCGGGTAGGGCTCTTGTCGACATCCCACACTTCCCGGCGAGCATCCTGGCTTTGAGGCCAGCCCGTCCCTCCTCTCGCGCACCTGCATATGCCCTTGTTGATTGGGTGGGATGGCATAAGCACGACTGCACCAAGGAACCTATTGATCAGGTGGCCGCCGATATGCCCGAGCTCCTACACGATTATTATCAGCGCCACGGCACCGCCAACTCGTTGCTACTGTCTGCTACCTCCTCCAAGTCGCCTCAGGACCAGCTGGCCACTCAAATACGATCCAAGAAGAACTTTGTTGTAGTCACAGGCGCTGGTGTCTCTATCCCCGCAGGCCGTAAGTCACCCCGTCCTCTTCTATCATCCTTTCAGTCAATGTACTCACGACTAAATTGTCACGATCGACACTGGCTATGACGAGGCAAATACTCGACTCATTCCGGCCTTGAATCCATAGATGTGACATGTCCATTGGACCCGACAGAGCGAAACGGTCCGACGCTATAATCATTTACCGTAGATCACACCAGGTGTGCTAGGCTCCTTGACTGGCATGGGGGCGTCAGCTTTGTAACTATTCAGGAGCCCGGAACCAACACGGTAGAAGGGTAGAATACCCTGTCACGGGACGCAGAATTCATGCATGCAAGGATGGCTGCAAGGATGGCGGCAAAGAAGGCAATTCCGCCAAGCAGGTGATGCAGGCTGGGATCCGGCGGTTTGGCAAACAATGCAGCTTTGCATGCCTTCAGACGCTGCATACGCGACCCTCCTTGGATCACAATCAATTTTGTGACTCTGTTCGCCGGTACAATGACATTCCTCTGCAGGCCGAAGGGGATGGAATACAAATGTCGTGGCTCTCTGACCTGATATGGCCGGTGTGACCACGCTATGTATCTATACTGAGGACATTGCCCAGCTAGACGCAATGAAATGTGATCTGTAAAGTTAAGAAGCCAGTCCCGTCCTCTTGGCACAGGGCAGGAAGGATTATCTTTACCCAAAGGAAACCACCCGGTCTGGCCCACCACGGCGCTTTGTGGTTCCGTCAAGTTCTTGCTGCGCCATGCGACAACCAGTCTGCTCATACTCTAAGCCTCGTTTCCTCATCGACAGTCTCTTCGACTGTATCTTGCTTATTGTAAGCCTCGGCCCATATGGCCTGAAGGATCTACATGTGATCAGTCACACGTAGCAAGGCGAGTTGAAGGGTGCTCGTATGACCAATCAGTGGATACATCTCGGCTTGCCGATCAAAGACGATGTAAGTCCCGACCGTACGGTAAGGCCCGATATTGGTCCCCAATTTCCCCCATGTTTGTCGGCTTTGTGGGTAGATTCGGCATACGATAGGGTAAGTATCACCTCGCTTACGGCAAGCCAGGAACAAACAGACATCATCGCCAATGTACTAGCGCTGTTGCATTCCCCCACAGCCATGTGACATGATGGACGATGTTGGTAGTCCAAATACTGTCCAGCCGCTCGTGAAATAATGTGTACAAGGGAGACAAAAACAAGGTGATGTCTGGTACCATCACATCTATACAGGCTCTGGCTCTGCTAAACCAACAAGAACCATGCCAGGCCTTGTCATGTTGTTTGTTCTCGTCCATATCGTTTAAATAGCAGTGAATCTGCGCAGCCCTCTCTGTTTCGCGTTTTCCGAGCAAATGAAACTGGCAGTTTCTCAACCACCTAGAGTCCCCCCAAGAACTTGTCATTTTTAACCACCTCTTTACTGCTTGCTTGAACCTCAGCGATGGCATCAGACCAAAGAGCTTCAAGCAATGGCCATCAGACTCTAGCGCCGTTCCCGGACCCCAGGGTTCCACCTAGTTCCGCCGGCAGAGTAAACCAGCCCGACCGCGTGGGGCGGCGACGTCGTCCCCGCAGCCGTCCATTACTGCCCTTTACACAGGCTGCTGCCAGCACGGCACCGGTCGGGTCTCATGTCCAGCATGAACATAACCTCTTCGGTTCTCCCAATTCCGAACAATCATATCAAGCCGGCTGCTCGTGTGCTTCCGGAGCCCTGGGATCTCAGGGAACTATACTCGGCATGTTGAACCAGTTGTCGGCCCAGGTGGAAGAACTTGCCACAACGTAAGACCGGCCGAGCTTCTCTCACGCCTTCCGTCTCACATAACACCCACGTCGAGCACTACTGCAACGTAATCTGCACACTCCCCTACTTCTATGATGTGGCAATGGGTTATGGGATTAATTGAACAGCAGTCAGGGAAGACGAAACCGAACCATAAGCAGGGACTGAATCATGAAGAAGAGCTTAACCAAGAGTTAGGACTGCATGATGAGGTAGGAACTTTACTGCCAGCAAAAAGTGAACTATGACCAGAAAATGGATCATGGACATAAATTTCTGCTCTATGAGTATATCAGAATCAAAACAACCGCACGTCGTAAGTAACTGAAGAATCGATATCCACATTGCTTAATGGCCAAATCAAGATCTGCAGCTCAACAAATCTCAATAAAGTTTAACACAAACAAATCTGTAAAGCCGGAGCCTACGTAAACTAACGTTGTCGGTAGCTGGCTAACGTCGATGTCACCCTAATTCTGAGATATCAATAATGGCATTGAGAAAATTTGATAGGTTCACGAGGGCAAACGATAGTCTATTATATTTCAAAGTGTTCTATTAAAAGAAAGAAACCGGGAATAATTCCTGAAGGGCAGAGGGCCCTTATATATGAGAAATACAAAAAGAATGCATGCGGGAAAAAGACAGTGTGTCTTTTTCCAAAAATCTTACCGAAAAAGAACAGATATGGGGTTTTGGTAATATTGGTGACGTTGAGACCTCAGGGTGAACTAGGACCACTAGATTCCACCACGCCCTCTCAGACTGAGGGCATCAACATAACCAAAAACAAACCGGAAGTTATTCCTTCGTACGGACAAGTCCTAGCAATATTTCATGCAGGTGTTTTGCGCCACGTCTAGTAGCCCGCGCCACAGAGCTGCACCTGCCAAGCCACGGGACAAAGCCACACTATGACAGCATCCATGTTGCCGGGCACCGACATGATGCATGTTTTGCGTCCAGCGAAGTAAACAACCCACAGTCGTGCCACCTCCTTCCCTCCCCCTCCTTCATACTTCATACAATGGCGATGCCACGGTCGATGATCAACACGTGGCTGTCTCTTACCGACGAGAAGGAAAATCATCCAGAACAGCCTACCTCTTGCCCATCTCCGCCGCTGTCATCTCTACGAAAGCCGACGAAGCGAGAGGCTTTTGCCTCGATCGACCCCAACATGTCCGAACCCCCCGCGGGGCGACAGAGAAGCAAAGGGAATGGTCGCTATGATGTCCCGCATCGTCATCCTCCGCACGATACCTCCATGTCCCTCGCCGAACGCGAAGCCCTCGCCGATGCCGAAGCCCAAGCCGAAGCGGAGCGCACGCCTAGGCCGACGACGCGAAGCCGCCGAGTACTACCAGAATCAGCAATAAGTGGAGGTGGAGGAGAGGCGAGTCAGGAAGAAATCCCTCGCCGCCGGACAACGAGGACATCGAGGCGGCCGAGCAAGCACGAAGAACAACAGCAGGGACAGGAGCAAACGCCAGAACCAGAACCAGAACCCCCGAGCTCGAGTTCGAGGTCTGCAAACAGAGTCTGGGCCGACGCGCTGTCTTCCAGGGTGTCTCTGCCTCTGCCTCCGGGCTCGGGTGCGGGTGCAGGTCGCGGCGATGTCTTCTCGTCGCCCTCGCGATCCTCGGCCTCGATAAGGACCACGTCGATTGCCAGGTCGACTGGCAGGGCTAGAAGTCCCGTCAAGTCCATGACTGATCTGCGTTTGTCTCTGAAACCGCCGCAGATACTCTCGTTTGATCTCGGCCCGCCCGATGATGTCGAGGAACTCTACCAGAAACTCGTCCAGATCAACGACGGCGAGAGGCTGGTACCGGCTGCTGCCAAGGTAGGTCATCACAGGTCTTCTATGTTGTTGCCTCCCTCTCTGCCCGCTTTCTCTGATTTGATCATGGTCAAAACTGATAGATACGGTTCGATCGTCCCAAACGGCCTGTCAAGGAGTGGCAGATCGACAACAGCCCCGTCACAGAGGCGATCATTGTATTGGTCTAGGAAACCACTTCGCCGAATGGACATCTGTCTCTATAGTTCCCCAGTGGAAGGCCCATGTAATCACTTCTACCATTCTTCCTCCACTTATCGCCTATGCAGTAACGCCGTCCCGGATGAACGTAGCATGCCCAGGAATCTGGGGCACGCTAGATCTCGTCCCCGTCGCTTGAAAAAATTCCGGGGGGCTGGTTAATCCGCGCCTTGTCCCGGCTAGCCGAGATTCCGCAAGCTGTAGCCATTTACCCCACTCAATCCGTCTCCGCAATCTCGTTCGTAGACCTAGCCAATCAAATCTTGCATTAGCATATGTATGTATCTCGCTGTGAGTCGACTAGCAGCCTCGTTGTCGCCACTGTTCCTATTCTCCAGTAATCAAAAACCTCGTCACTTGTCAGCATCCCATCAACATCCCCAGCCGTTGTCAGCATCAGCATGGACATGCCTGCGGATCCGCCTGCGTGGTTCGCCTCTTTCCTTAATAAGACGTCGCTACAACTTGATCAAAAATTGACAGCATTTCATGAAGACGTTGTTAATCACCTGACACCAGCTCCTGCAGAGAAGACACGGCACAGACAGTCAGCTAGGTCTAGTACCGGCACCAGCATCGACATTATCCTCAAGGAACATATAGAGGCCCTAAAAAAGAGCCTCATCGAGGATATTAAACGAGAATTCCTCCAGCACGTGCGAAGTGCGTCACAGGTTGCGACCGATGCCGCTCTTAGTGGCAAGGACGTAAGAGGCACTGTAATTCAGGATAAGCCCCTCCCAGAGCAAGATAGCCAGCTTGCTTCAGCGGCTGCAGGGCGCCAGCTTGAGAAACGTGTGGGCAGGACGAGCAGCTCTTCTACTTCGGCTCTATTATCGGCCAGCGACGCATCGTCGCCACCCTCTAGGCCCGACGACGGGAAAATCAAAGAACTCACAGAAATTGCTGGTGGGCACCATACGACTGGGAGAAAGGATGATAATTTACCTGCTGCGGTAGCCATGTCCAAGGATGGTGATGTCGTGTATCAATCCGAAGACGCTGGACCGGAAGACATTCATGTGTCTCGTCGCCCAGATGAGGCCCAGTTCAGGGAAGACAAGGGAAAGCCCGAGAACGGTATTGATAACGGAGATGACGGAGAGAATGAGGACGAGCACGAAGCAGAAAAGAGTCCGGAGGAAAAGATCGCCCTGTGGCCGTTCGCCCGCAGAAGACACTCCTTCCTTCACGGAAAAGGCCCGGCCACAATACAACGCCGGGGAGATCATCAAAGATTCCGAAGACAGGGCGGTTACCGGCAAATCCTGAACTAGCACAGACGGTGTCACGGATCAGATCGGTGGATAAGCTCTGCCACATCCCTACATATCCTGCAGACGACCCCCCTAGTCCTGATGTATTTCTCCTGGCATCGGCAGTTCGCAGCAGGGAAGCGATCAAGCAATTTATCTCGCTTGTAGCAAGCAAGCGGGCTCCGGACAACAGATTTCGCTTTGATTTTGCACAGGACCCTGTCCACCGCATTGCTACCACTCTCAAAAACGCTAGTAGCAACTCGATCTTTGCGAAATTCATCTTGCGTCTCAGCCAATGCCAGCTTGCAGCACAGATTGATTCCACCAAAATGGGCGCCATCAGAGCAGATCCGGCAGTGCTAAACAAGGCGATGGAAGAACTTGGACTTGGGAAAAAGACGTTCCATAACCACCTTGCCGAGGGCCGAAAGTGGAGTGGTGTGTTCCGTGTTGCTCGGACGCCAACAGTGTACATTATACTCTAGCCTGCGGGCGCCTTCTACATCGCAGGATAGTTGTACTTCTGCGTGAGGTGGCAATGGGTCATGGGATTAGTTGGACAGCAGTTAGGGAAGATGGAACTGAATCATGAGCAGGGAATGGATCGTGAACAATAGCTGAACCACGGGGGAGAACTGGATCATGAAAGAGGAACTGGACCGCGAGCGAGAAGCGAACTATTGAATATTAAAAGGTTAAAATTAGAACATAACAACCCTATGATCATAGAACAATATGTAACGTAGACCTCCTGTCTGCCGGCCCTGGTCAGAGATCTTGCGTACCTCTATCATTCCAGCGAGGAAATACCTCGTCGCCCCGGCTTGTGCGGAGTAAGCAGAGCTTTTCAGATGATGATCGACCCCCGTGCTAGAGACTACTGGCGTGGTTTACTTGATGGTGCAGCACCGACGCAAGTCATTGTCCAGCCGTCACCTGCGAGCGCCGGTTCCCATCTGAAGAGAGTCCACCAAAGCGTCGCAACGGAATCGCCTTTCCTGGTAAAAATCATCCGTGCGCTTGCACTTGTTAGTACATCTGCGCACACCACAGCAAAATTCTTAACACTTGGCACTGCGCCATTGTTTTGAATCTAAACACCAAGGGCAAAATCTCGAGATCCGCCTCGCTCCCTGCAAAGGGGACGAAACCAGCACTCGACGATGGCAGCGATCTATCAGAGTCGCAGCCGACGCTGCTCAGTTCACCCGGGAACCTGAGCCAACTACCCCTTCCAACCTCGACCAGCGGAATAAGAAAAGGAAGCCTGCCAATGCCCAGGCTCCCCCGACAATTGACCTCACTGGAAAGCCCGCTACTGGATATTATGACATTGCCGCCAGCGCTTTTGCACCTCACTTAGAGGATCTTGAGCGCCAGGCCCGTATCAAACGCACTGTCCTAGGGCAGCTCGCCGGCTGCCTGGACGACTTTGTAGGCACCTACAACGGACCACAACAGTCCGAGTACAAGAGGGAGGCTCGCTTAGTGGTTGAGATGATTTGCAGCCATCTAAACACTGCTATCTTTTCCCACACGAACGGCACTTTCTATGCGCCCATCCGTGTCAAAAGCTCTGGGCCTATCGACACTACCACCACCATCACCACCAACACCACGAACGCGTACGGGCAAGGCCCTGGGGCGACGTCGTCCAAACAGGTGTCCTGGGCAGGAGTGGCCAAAGCAGGCCACGCGACGAACTCAGGGGGCAACGCTACCACCCATGCAAGTGCCGGACACTCCGCCCGCACGTCCCGCCCCGGGGCCTCGGCGTCTGCCCTAGCCAGGGATAAGACACGAATCTTGATACGCCTAGATGAAGATCGGCGCATGCGGAAGGAGCAGCCCTTCACCCTTCGCTCTGCAATCTGCAAGGAGTTCGAAGACCTTGGGCTAGGACATCAGCCCGACCAACACTGGTTGGTCTATCAGGTTGGCAACCAGGCGGATTAGGGAACAGCTGCTGGGTCCGGAAGCGAAGCTGCGTCTAGGAAAAGTTACAAACGCTGCAGCAGTAGATGTTCCAGAGCGCTGGTTCACATACGTGGTGCCAGACATCCCCTGGAACTTCCCCGACTACGTGAACTTGGGCAACCACATCCAGACACAAGACGTGATCGAGGACGAGGTATATGCCCAGACGAAAGCACGCCCTGTCAAATGCAAGCCGTCCAGACAAGGCCCAGACCCCGCCACAGGCAGAGGCAGCTGGATGGTTTCTTTCCTAACACCCGTAAGGCCGTTCAGCCTCTTTAACGACAGCGGTCGGTCAAAGCTGGTAGAAAAGAAGTCCTTGAAAAGCAATCAGAAAACCAGCTGCAGTTAACCCGGACAGGAAGAATCGGTCTTCTAGCGCTAATTAGGCTTTAGAGGTTGATATCCCCTTTACCATCTTCTTCCATCTTGCTCGACAATGCAGGAGGCCATGAAGCTCGCAACCAGGACGCAGGATGCCACGGAGTTGGCGGATATGGTGCACTCGCAGCCGCGCTGCGGTGGGGTCGCCACCCACCCGAGTGCAGCCTGTCGACAACTCTCCAAAGGCCGTGTTTTGGGTATTGGATTTGGATCTCGAGCAGTCCGGGCGGCAGTGATTGGGGAGCCATCCTTGAGTAGTAAGCGCAGTCGCCTGAGGTTTGAAAAGGTCGCCTCGTTGCGGTTTCCGTGTCACAGCCCAAGGAGGGATTTTGGCCGAGCTTAGGAAGAGACAAAAACAAAATGTCATCCAGCTGAAGATCCAGGGTATTGAGTAGGTCGAGCTATTGCTTTATGTCGAAGCAATTGTAAGGCTAAAGGAGCATCATTAAAAGTTAAGAGGTGGCTCAAGAGGCAGGCGCGCTGTAAGGCAGGGACGGGTCTCGCCCCGCAGTGATCGAGATCCCTCAGCCTTGCCGACGCCTATTTCCCCCCGTCCACCATTCCGCATCATCATATTCAACTCCTTCACCAGCACCCACACCCGCACCCACACCCACACGCCCAGACACGTACAAACAGCACTGTGCCTGCCAATATAGCAGAAGGCGGCATCTGCGGCTGCGACCTCGGATCAGATCATCATGCCCGACATGGCGGCTCTCTTCAAGGTCTAGGAACGCTTTGGCATGAAAGCCAAGGTACGCAGTAACATTCGACATTGCCCTCCTTCATCCCACGCATGACCCATAGGATACAGCTGACTCGTTCCCATGTCAGCTAGGAGACGATTTCTGCCAGAGCCGGGTTCGGGGATACTGCTGTATCCAGATATAACCCACCACCAACCATTGCCTAAGCCTGATGGCCCCGACACCTCCCTCACAGGCCTGTTCTGTTCCATAAACACACCAACAATGAAGGAAATGCGACCAAACCCCTTGTCCCTGCCGCCCCAAGTCTCCCTCCTCGATACAATATCTGGCATTGGCTAGCTCCGACAACTCTGACCGAATATTCGAAGAGCAGTATCAAGGCGACGCAGGACTTGCATCTCTGAAAAGCCTGTTCCTGCCAATTGCGGACGAGTTCGAGATCGCGTATATCGTCCACTAGACTGCAATATGCTGCCGCCAACTCTCTTGCGTCACGCTTCATTTCCACCACGAGCCGGCGAGCACGCCTGATCGTCCACAGCCGGAGGTTTCTGAGTGTCCTTAGTGAGGTATCTCCGAGGCTTCGCCTGTCAGTGTGTGGAGCGACTCCCTACCGCCCAGTTCCTCACGTCACGCACCCTGTCTAAAGGGCCAGCCGTCATCCTAGTACCTCCAGGTCTCCGCAAGCAATAGTGCGACCAACTATGGAAGAACCCCACTACCAGGCGGACTTCAAAAGACTGAGATCTGGTCCACACATACGGCAGCCGACTAAGTATCGACCGCAATGAGGGACAGGCATCCCATGATCAAATCTATAACCTCTAGCGATCTTCAATATGACTATATTACCGATGACCAGTGGGAATGGGAACAGAGCTTTGATAGTTCCCACAGGCCAGCACTGAAGCTGAGCAGCAAGAGAAAACATACATCTGCTCAGCTTCCTTGTATTTCCCCTGCTTCTAAGGACTTCTGCAAGGTTGTTTAACTGATAGCACGAGCATACTACCTCCCGCATAGTAGCGGCACAGACGACATCAGTCGTGGTGAATTGCAAGAACTTTCGGATTCGTTGATAGAGTTGGTAGCCTTTTTAAGAACTGTTAACTTCCCTTCCAGTGTTTCCGAGTCCCCATACCTCTCCATTGCCGCGCGACCGCTCTACTCTTGGCGCCGTACGGGCGCGTACTGCTTGTGGCCACGGAACCCGCCTACGACTGCCTGCTCTGCTCGAGGTAGCGTGATGGTGTCGGGACTTGTACCAGACTGTCCGGGCGATGGCCGTCGAGCCGACAGGGCGGTAAGACCAAGTAGCATGGATACCTGGGAGCTTGTGGGTATAAAGACCGTACTCAATGTCCACAACTTCTCCCTGTAGCCCTCCCTCTTTCGGTGCGCGCGGTCTTCTCTCCGGAACTCGCTCTTCACGCCTGCCTGAGAGTTCAAGACCATGGCCTCGCATAGCGTCCGTCAGGAGGTGATTGGCCTCTGCCTTAACAAGTTCGGGCCTCTGGTCGACATCGGCATGCGTGACGCGAACAGCACCAGAACGCGGCTCGAGATAACACCCCTGGAGCACAACGCCAGCTTCATATCCTGGTCGACACCCCCGAGTTCGCGCTAGGCGTCATCCAGGAGGTCGCCAAGCATCGTCTGAAGTAAATACAAGGACCTGGAGGACTTGCTGATTCATGATGGGTTGATTATTTTGCTGGTTCTAGGGCAGCAAGTTGCGACGTAGCACTGCTTGCGCCACTCCCAGGGATGTGTTAGCTGAGGAAGTGCTCTAATCAGGCGATATGAACGGTCGACAGGTGCCTAGATAGACTCATGGGCAGATGCCTGAATGGACCGTGGTCGGGCTCATGAGTAGCGGGAGATAAATGATATAGCAACACGCAATATCACCCCAAAACCTCCTGCGAACAGTCATAATAAACACATGCCACCGAAACCGTGAAATGTCTTCCGGTAATATGGATATCTAACCCTAGCCCAACGCTATGTATGAGCCGTAAACGCCATCTAATGCCATGCCCACGCTCTATGCCGGTCTAAACAAAGGAAATCGTTCGTCGAGTCAGACAGATACCGTCAATATCAAAGATAGCCAGTTGAATCAATCCGCAATCCTCTCCTTCCACCCACCCACCTCCACGCGCTCAGCAGCAGCAAGAGCAGGCTTCACCCCCGCCGCCGCCTTCTCGCGCGCCTCCTCCATCTCGGCCTCCCGATTCAAGAAGCTCAAGTACGTCTGCCAGCCCACGGCCACGACGCCCGCAAAGATGCTGCGGTACTCGATCGGCACGAACGCAAAGCTGAAGGCCGTGACGGCGGGCCACAACTTGCACGAGTTGACGAAACTGACCGGCACCGTCTTCTTGATGCGCTCCGAAGTGTCCGCCAGCGAATCGCCCGACGGCAGCGCCTGCGCGCCGAAGAAGTACGAGTTGAAGACGGGCGTGAAGCACAGCTGATTGACAGCCACTTTTGCGCCGATGGAGAGCAGGCGCGACGAGTAGTTGAAGGACCGAGAGAGGAACATGAACCTGGGCGAAGACTTGAATCGGTATAACGTCTTCTCCATAGGCTCCTCATCTCTGTCGCGAGCGGGGAGCACCGCACACGACATGACTCCAGAATCTCATCCCCAATGCGCCCCACGGAACAACAGGCACATCCCACAGCCCCCCCGCCACCATACAACAACACCAGACCGTTGAACAAGAACAAGCCAGCACTCACCAAGTATACCCCGGGATAGCCGCCGCGCCCCCAATGACCAGCGACCGCCCCGTGCGCTCCAAGTCGTGCTCCCCGCGCCCGCCCAAGCGCTGCGCGCTGATGTCCGCGCACAGGTATATGAACAGCGAGCTGGCGAGCTGCGTCGCCCACGGCCGTGCCCGCTGCGCCCGGGCGTACGCCTGCCCGGCGCGCGTCAGCGGGCCCAGCCGCTGCCAGAAGGGCAGCGGCGCGACCGTGTTGCCGGTGTCGCTAGTGCTGGAGTGACACGAAGACTCCACAGATCGTGCAAGACGTCCGTCTGGCTCGTTGCTCGACACTCGAAAGACAGAGTAGAGGAACTTCACCCAGACGAAGGAAGTGATCGACATCGTCCTAGTTGTTGCATTCTGTGGGGGGCAAGGGGTGGAGCGTCGACCCAATGTCTGCCACGACAATGGTATCTGTCTTGGCCGGCTACGGCGACGACCGATTGCATGAATCCTTTGGTGCGATCATCAGCATCCCAGATGACCTCACAGTAAAGCAAGCCCGTAAGGTGTGATTCCCTACCTAATGCAACACAACACACGTGGTTCACTCAGGTCGCCTCGCTCTGCCATCTCTATTGGACCGTCCCTTTACGAGGGAGCCTTGCGAATCAGCCTCGCTATGCGGGGTTTGCATAGTCCTGCCAGCTTCCCGGAATCACCAGACCATTTGAACTTACCACTTCAGCAACCCTACGCCCATGGGAGCTGATATGGTCGATGTCCTGCTTCATGCATAGCTCCACAACTTTTCAACCATAGCCGAAGACTCAAGATGACAACAAGTCGCCGGGAGTACGTCTTCCGCGCGTACTCGAATACTTCGGCAGGAGCTCTTGTCAGTGGGCGGGGTCCCCGTCCCCGACACACGCCGCCAATCGCCATCGATAGGGAATTCGACCGGCACCGGGATCTCAACAACACGGTTCCCACATCACTAGTGTCAGTGAGTCGACGAGTCATCGACACTCTACGCCGCGCTTTCAACAAGCACTACCGAGACAACGAGCCGGCCGACCAGATTTGGATCGCTATAATCCGCCTCCCCGAAGAAACAGCCGACGATGTGGTCTTCCACAAAGCATTGGACCTAGCGGCAGGACACGGGGACGAAGCCAAGTTCACGTATGAGATAGTATTCGAATGGGAGATCCCAGAACATTACGTTGAGCACAGGGTTTCTGTGCAAAGTCTGATCGACCGAGGGTTAGACCTTCGAAACTATCGAGTCAAGAACCGACTCACGAACGAGGCTTGGCTACCTGCGACAAGTGAATTGCGCTCTGTGCTGGCAAAGGACCTCTTGGAGTTCTCCCGTGAGGGGAACTATTCATGGGAGGATGGTTGCTACGATACAGGGGTAAACCTGGCTTTCTGGGCAAGAGATTTCGGAACACAAGCACCGACCAGGTATATCGCCTACCAAATGTTTGACGATCTGCTAGGTCCCGTAACCTACTTCTGTGGCGACGACCAAAGGATGAGGTTTAGCTACTGCGAGATGTGTTTCGAATTCAGTGACTTATGTCACCTCGAGGACGGCATGAAGTTCGTCGAGAAGCTCAAGAATTACGGCGGTACGGAGGATTACGACGACTGGCTGGATTACGCATTTTATAAATGGCGAGAGTGTGTCGTGGAGCTCGAGTGTATCGAAGACTGGTTCCGCGACCGGGCCACCAAATGCACCGAATGCACCGAATCTATCTGTCATGAGGGTGCGACACTCATAGCTTCGAAGAAAGAGGTCATGGAAGAATGGAAGAGGTTATTGAGACCTCTAGTATTATTGGAGGGGTCGTAGCCAGCAAATGGTTCTGTCCAGCAGGACCCATCGAGTACTGCTGATACGAAACGAGTCCCTGCTACCCAGCAGGTTGTCATGTCATCGTCAATAGATTGGTGTGTGTTCGTAGAATGGTGTCCAGGCCGGAGACAAGTACAAACAGACTCACAGAAAGAAGGAGACCCAAGATGGCTCGCAGCTGGATCATTATGGTGCTATCAACTAGTCATGACCACGCATTCCTAGCTGCTTCTTGACTTGCCTCGGAACCTATGTCATGACCAGCCTTCATGCCAATACCCGCTGCTAGGTTATTTCATCATTGCCGGCAGTAGGCACTCCTCGAGGAGTATGGTGATACCGATCGTCATGTTCTCTTTGCCAGCAGTTGACTGACATTGGACGAGACGTTGATCAGTCCTGGATTCATAACCCACCCAGGCCCCCAGATGGGTTTCGCTGCTGGCCGGTAGCTGCCAGTTATCAGCCCACAATGTTGCGAGTTGCTGACCCATTGGCGTCAGATCGAGAAATCTAAGCCTATGCGGTGTATTTCTGTTGCGGCAAAGCTGCTATACGAGCGCTCCTTCTTGGTCGGATAGTCTCCGGCTCCTGTTTGCTTTTCTGCAGGTGTGATACTCTGTCTCTCGTACGAGGACATGTTCTCTTGGCCTTTTTCGCCCATCCTTGTGCCTGCGCTACCTCTTCTGTGTCTTCTGTGTCTTCTGTACGCTTTCTCTTCAGTGATAACCGCGTTTGTGTCTGCAACGCGTCCGAACGAAATTGTTGCAGGGTGACGGCTGGTTGGGGCCGAGGAGTTGGAGATGTGAGCGCCGTAGAGGGGGGACGGTTTGGTTCGTTGGGTATTGAGTCGTAAGGCATTGGGCTGTTAGGTATTGGGTTATTCGGCATTTGGTCGTTGGGTATTGGGTCTCCGGTTATGGGTGGCCCAGGGGAGTCTTGACCTGGAGTGAGTTAACAACACAATCGTATTTGATCAGACAGATAGCTCACGATTGGTCTGCGCAGCCCATGCCTCAATACCCTCTCGCTTAGCCTCCCATCCAAGGACAAGGTCATCATACGCTTTGTCTTCCCGTGCCTGATCTTCGTCTACTGGTTTTTGCTCGAGATAACGATAATAAGCCAATTCGCGATGATGTTTTGCTCGCCATAAGGGTTCCCAGTGGTCCTTGAAATATTGCAACTTGCCTTCCCAATAAACAGGATCTTGGAGGTTAGGCATAGGTTGAACATTACCGTGGCAGTGAACCTCTTTCCCAGTGACATAAAGCTCGTCGTTTCTCACTATAGAGTGGCCTTCGGGTCCAAGCTCGCGCAAAGCAAGCATATGTGCATAGATGGATCCTCTTGCACGTCCCACTCTGACGGATGGCGATTTTTCTGATTCATCGGATGATGATGTGCATGGGCTGGGAGAGATCTTGTGCTGTAGTTTTCCAAGATTGTCCTCGGTCAGAATTGCGTCCATATTGGCTGATGATGATACACAAGAGGAGAGGATGAAGGTGCGTGCATGGTGGGATGAGCGGGAGAGGGAGCAAATAATGGTCCATTTCAGCTACTTACTGTCCATCTCCAACCCTGCTGCAAGTCGAGTGGAACACGCGGACACCCGATTGGTCAATATGACCTCCAGGCGCGTCGAGCTTAGGTACTCCCGTCTACTCCACTCTACTCGGGCCGCACATACCCGAGAAGCCGCCGCACCAGCGACCACGGACCAATGGGCCCAGGCACTCATGAGTACTCCTGCCGCAAGTTTCATGATTCCCTGCTTCCTAGCCAACCATTGGCCGCCTACAGTTCAACTGCCAGAACATCGATGAGTACATAATGGACGAGCCCCGGCTTCCACCCGAGGCGATACTGTTCTGTCATGGACCTCGTTGCTTCACAGCCCAGTAGGCAATTGTGACCATGGAGACCGACGCCAAAACCATATTCAGCATACATTCCTCTCATCCTTTCATGAAACACGCACACCACGCTCATCTCCTTGCATACGACGAGCAGCACAGCTACCCCCGCGATTGCTGGGCTCACGAATTCGTTCCAGCGAGCGAAGACGAAACGGAAGAAGGCACCCCTGCCCCGCAGTTGACTTCAAGCTTCCTCCGGATTACCACAGATCACGAGCCTCGAAATGCCCTGCTTGGTTTTGTCTTCGGGAGCAAGGCCGATGTCTGTGACGTCTTGCTCGATACTCATACAAATTCTGGCGTAAGCAAGAAGCAATGCGCTGTACAAATCAACCGTCATGGAGGAACCCTCCTCTTGCAAAACTACAGCAAGAATGGGACATTGATTACCTCCCACAGCCTTGAAAAGATCATGGTGAAATCCCAAAGAGCAGTCCCACCGACAGACAGGGAAGTCACCGTTATCCTGGGGGATCATACCTTTCGATTGCAATTCCCCGACCACAGCGGCCACATGCGTGCGTGGATGCAACACTGGTCGGCGTATTGTTCCAGGTACACATCACGAATCCCCTTGCTCACAGGCCTTCAACTTAGCTCGGGTCCTGCTACAAGTCAAGGAGCAGGGGGGGATGTGTACCACCTGGAATACACACTGGGCAGTGGAGCAACTGGAGTTGTATACCGAGGCGTGCACTACGTCACTGGGAACGTCTATGCCGTCAAGGAGTACGCGAAGCCCAAGTATGATGAAAGGGTGAGGGAGGCGTCGCTACTACAGGGCATCTCACACGTATGGACATACCTGCATCTCCACCACCATAGTACAAGCTAACATGTTTCAAAAGGAGCATATCGTCAAGTTTCACGACTTTCTCTGGAACCCGAAACGCCCCCAACTTGTCATGGAATTGGTGGATGGCCCGAACCTCGACGAAGCACACCGAGCCCAACCCATACAGATCCTTGATCTGAGAGCCATTCTCTGCCAACTCCTTGATGCTCTAGCATACCTTCACAGCCAACACATTACTCACAGGGACATCAAGCCGGGAAATGTGATGCTGCAGTCGCGCAGTCCGATCCATGCCAAGTTGACTGACTTCGGCTTTGCCTCTCATGCAAGAGACCTCTGGACGAACTGTGGCACACCATGGTACATCGCGCCCGAGATCGGTCACGGGACATACACTAACAAGGTTGATATCTGGTCCCTCGGTATCGTGGCTCTGGAGCTTTCGTGCGGTCTTCCTCATTATCCCAAGAGGAGGAGGGAGCAGTGGCCGCACGAAGTATCAGCGTACTTGGCCTCTCAGCGTCCCTCAGCAATCGTCAAATTTGCAACTACCCTGCTTCAAGTTGATGTACTAGAGCGTCCTTCTGCATTGCAGAGCCTTGGACATGCCTTCTTCACTACACTGTACCCTCCTGAGGACCAGGAGACGCATCATTCCTCCCTAGCATCAACCCAACCATTTACACCATCAGCGTCTATCCAGGGGGCCACTGCCAATCACCAGTCTCATGGCGCAGCCTACCTGCAGGACACGATGATTCCAGGGTCAGCCCCGGAGCAGCCCCACCCCGAAGATACATCTTACGCTTCACGGTTGGCATCGTATGAGGACCGTGCTGCGACCCCGACGCCAGCTTCTTATGCTGCCGGATATGGATCACCTGTGCGTCATACGCTATATGAATCAGCGCCCGTTCAAGAAGTTGGAGATCAAGAAATGCCACAGGCCTTGCAGTATGAGGTGAGTTCTCTTGTGTGTTTTACCAAGGATAATATTGCTAAACTAGCTTCTTAGGCGCCTCACAACTGGTCCAATAACCCGACGTCGTCTGCATTTAGTAGGTCATGCGCACCACCTCGGTCATTCGGCACGAGCTATCAGCATCTGGCCACTTCGGCGGAAGTTGCTGGTACCGCACAGCATGAAACAATAGAAGATGCCGAGCTGTATTATCCTACTGAGGAGCTGCCCCTCAACTTCCGACAAATTTCTGTCCCACCACCCGATCTTCCAAAATCCCACCTAAGCTCTCGGTCAGTTATGTATAGTGACAATGACTTGGTATATGTCGTCATTCGGCGGCAAAGGGTATCAATGCGTACATCAGACCACTACCTAAATGCTTCGCAGATGATGACTGCAGCGGGGTTAAAGAAGAACGATCGTGACACACGACTCAGGAAGCTTCGAAAGTCCACTGCTGTCTCCATTGAAAAAAGCGGCCTTTGGATTCCATTCGAAGACGGCGCGCACCTATGTCACGAGTTGAAACTTGGTGACGATATGAAACAATTACTCTCCTACGGCCCACAGCCTCTTCCAAGGGAGGGAAGCAATCTTAGACAGGAACCTCCCCCAATTGAGGGAATCAATAGAGGAAAACGACTTCGGGAAGGGTATCAACTTTTGGAGTGGGGTGAGAGCCAAATTGCGTACATGCCATCCACACAGATGGTCAATGCAACACATCTCCTTCAATACGGTAGACTTGACCGACGCAAGCTGCCAAAGTTCTTCACCCAGAACCCGCGGACCAGGAAGACAATACACCATGCGGCCCGTGTTGCAGGGACCTATATCTCGTTTGTGGATGCTGTTAAGCTCTGCCACTTCTTCGGTCTCGATCAGGGCCCGATCAACCACCTCTTAGCGCCACTGTTGGTAGGTGCTTCCAACGTCCAGCCTAACATTGCAGATCACAGAAATTCTGGCGGTCAAGCTCCCTACAGCAACTATGGGGACTCTGGTAAGGGAAACATCACGGTCAACCTCGACGAGTCACCATCCCAAGGTGATACTCGCCCTACAGATGTTGATGCCCAGATTTTACCTCTAGGGGCCATCGACGGTAGTTGGCACGCCCCCGTTGAGAGCCCCGAATTCTCAGAAGTTGCCGTCTCGCCCATGCCGCAGGTACAACAACCACACCACGACTCAAAGTACACTGAGCGGAGCTACAGGAATGGATCCTACATCGCGCCTCCGAATCGGTCTTACGGGCAACTTCTAACAGGTGTTTGGGAATAACATGACAGACAGTAGGGCTAGTGTTGTTCACCAGAGATACTTTTTCTAGATGATGTTGTACAGCTGGATGAGTAGGTAGAGCCGCAGCACATTGGTCTGCTTGTCAATGCATAGCAGGTGAATCAGTTTTCAAGCCCAGTAGTCAATTGAACTATCTCTTTCATTCCCACCATGAAGACCCAGGGCAGTCCCAAACTCAACCCGCAGCCAGTTCCTGAGTCATTCCGATGGTTGTGTTGCGTAGAGGGCTAGTTAACAGACGGGCTGCTGGCTATGGTTACGGTACGTGATCCACCGTACAATGACGACTGTCTGCCAACGCCTACCAGTCCCGGTTGATGCTGCCTGCATTAATAGAAGGCGCCTTTGTAGGACAGTTACAACATGAATCTCTCATAGATGGCAGGTTTACAAGACCATTATTACATTTAAAAAATGCCAGGACGTGGTACTGACAATGATAGTCCGCCCAACCTTCTAGTGGAAGTAATTTAACTACAAAGTCCTATTCCCTTGCTTGAAGACCTGTAGGTAAGCAACAACAGCGCCGACAGTTCGCCCTCCCCATTTCCTTCGTGATCCGCTGGGAATGAGATCCAGATTTAGCTTTTTGGCTGAGTGGTCTGAGTGGATAGAGGCGCTTCTAGGAACTGGATCATGAGCAGAAACGGGATTATTGGCAGAAACTTCTGCCCTCACACAGGGTGACGTCTCTTGACCTTGACTTTAGCTGTATAGCTGATCGCCTAGCCTGGTCGTGTCGGCCGCCGAAGCAGTACTGGTGATTTGTTCTAGCACTAACTTGTGGATGTTGTTGGACAGGACAGAAGAACTAGTTGTAGAGAAGCAGCGGCATGTGTGAAAGCTGGAAGATGCATGCGTCTCCGTTGTGTTCCCACCTGGACTTTTGGATTCGTAGCCACTCATGACCGATAATTCTCAGCCGACTCCATCCATAGGTCGGCAGTCCCTGCGGGCTTCTTGAATGTGTATGAGTCATCCTGAAGGCGCCCTCGCAGGTTTCTAAACCGGCCCTAGATGCCTCGTCCGATTGCACATCTTCGATGCTCTCGAGGGGCTATGAAGGATAGGTCAGGGGGCCTTGGACACGTAGCCATAGCCTATCCAGCCGTTCTGCGCTGCCACCTTGGAACACACTACTCAGAGTAGATTGTCTTGTTCTAAAAGGTCTGCATCCGACTGTAGTGATTTGTAGGATTCTCGGTGTAGTATAACCTGCGGTTGGCAGACGGCTGTATGGTCCCACCAGGTGTTAGTAACGTAACTGCGGGTGAATGCTGCACACAGTACACAGTACAGGCAGTATCACCTGGTGGACGGCGTTGTCCTCTTCCAAAATGGCAAACGGCCCCGTATTGCAGCCCCAGTTGTCTGCCTCGGTCGGTCGAGCATAGCCGCGGTTATCGCCGTCGCAGTAGAGTATGTTGTCCGTCACGCGGCAGACCACCATCTTGCCATCTTCCCTCCTACAACTACTTGTCTTGGCACCCGCTGTTAGTGCACCCGGGAAATTACCCATACAAACCTGGTCCTTTTGTATGCGTTATTTTTCGCTTGCACTAACACCGACTGTTGTTGCAAGTACACGAAGGAGAACGAGGGAGATCCGGCTTGGGGACAGTCGACAACAGCCCTCGTCGACGTCGTCACGTCGACTGTGATACATCCGCGAGCTTGACGACGCTCTCGTCGAGCTACTCTCACGGCCGCTGTGCGCTGTTCAGGTTTGCGTGTGACGTGACCGAGCGCGCGCGCAGCACATCGGCCTCAGCGATATGCGAAAGCTATGGCCACAGGACCGCAAGCATTCTTCTGCCTGTGGCAGGACAGTAGGATCCGCGAGACGCTCTTCGAACTACTACCAAAGGAGGGCATATGCAATGTGCGACTCGCATCTTCAGCATGCTGCAACCTCGTTACCAAGCGCCTGTTCCTACGGACCAACGTGACCTTCACAGCCAACACCTTCACGCGGCATAGCCGGATACAGGCCTTGTCGAGAATAGGCCACCACATACATCACCTCACCTTCACCTTTCCACACACAGATGCCACCTTCTTACCGCCGCTCATCCACCCCGAGAGCGGGCGTGAGATCAGCTTTTTGTATACGCCTCACACCTCCATGGCCTCGGTGTTGGAGAGACCCAAATTCGCCAACACGGGGCTTGGTGAGATCCTCACAACACAGTACCCGCCCCTGTTCCATGCGGCTTCAAACGTGCCCTCCTTCATCAATGCGATGAAACACATCCCGAATATGAGGCATCTGACCATCAAGACCCCTGGCCAAGACCCCAAGGAACGATATCGGAGAGACATTATAGATTACGCTCTCATTAGCCTTCGGATATCCATGGAAAGGGCGCCAATAAACAAGCTCACAAAGCTGACTCTATCGTCCGTCCATCCGTCGGCCTTTATATACCTGCGCCACGTGGGCGGCTTTGGATGCCTTCCGTCTGCGGGGCGGCGGTGGAAGCAGATCCGGAAGATACATATTTTCGCCGAATCTTGGGACTTTTACGGGCCATCACCGGGTCTCGACCACCTCAAGATGATCGAAGACTACATATGCAGCTTCTCAACCAGCCTGGAGAAGTTGACGTTTACCTGGCTTGGTCGCAAAGGACCTTGCCCCATAGCGCTCGCAGCCGACCTCCTATTTGCGCCGCCGCGCAGCTCACAGAAGCTTTTCCACGAGGTCACATCTCCCATGTCACCATTGCCACCAGCACCGGCCAGGAAGCCTGTCGTCTTCCAAAAACTGCGGTTTCTGGCTGTGCGGAATGCCGTTATGAGAGCCCCGCAAGTGGCTGATTTGGTCGCCTTGCACCAACATACCGTGCGCGAGTTCGACTTTGAGAACACGTTCCTCCTCGACGATGGCAGCTGGGATGACGCACTGGCGCCATTGATGGACAACGGCTCTCACAGCGGCTACTGGTCTCGGCATTCCACTGCCACTATAACGGAGGAGGCCGCTGGCATCCAACCCGAGTATTTATCGGTGGACCCACCAGAGCCGTCGGCAGCCGTCGAGGCAGTCTCGCAAGAGCTGTGTAACATCGACCTGGAAGATGACGAAGACCTGGACCTCGAGATCCAAGTCGAGGAGGAATATGAGGACGAGGTGGTCCCGGACTTGGACTCAGACGTCGAGGCCGCCCGCATAGCGAGTCTCTCATTCAGCAACAAGTTCAAGAAGCGGTGCATCACCAAACGACGTCGCAGGCGCAAGCCCGGCCACGAGCACCAGGAGGGACAGCACGAAGAGGAGCGACATCATTGCCGCCAACGCTCCAACGACACCCTCGACGAATTACGCGATGGACACCACCACCGCCAGCACCAGAGATCACTAGACTCCTTAGACGAGGAGCACCCGACAGCGCTCGTCCGCCCCAACCACAGCCGGCAGCCCTCCAACAATTCGCTCCACTGTCACCCCCAAGAGCCACCCCGCCTCTCTATGGCGCACCAGTCTTCGCGTCCGCGGTTGTTCGGCGAGGTCGACAGCGTGTACTCCACCGCATCCTCCTCGCACCGCCTCTTCGGCGAAGTGACCAGCCAGCTCTCCTCGCACGCCGGGTCCGAGCCCTACCTCACGCACTCGCCCACGACTGACGAGGAAGAGGAGGGCGACTCGCTGATCGACTCGTACTTCCGCCCGCGCACGCCCACCTCACCTCCCACGCACCACCTCCCGTCCGCACCCGCGCCGTCGCCCGGCAGCAAGACCAACACTGCCACGGCCACCACGACGGCTCTCCTGCAGCCCACGGTCTACGACCCCACCGCCGAGCTGTGCTCCGAGATCTCGGCCGTGCAGCGCGACATCGCGGCCGAGGAGAAGCACCGCCTCGTCGCCGAGAACCCGGACGTCCAGGTCAGCGGGTTGCGACGGGCCAAGGAGCTTGTCCTGAGCCGGCTGGGGCGCGAGTTCTGTACCGCCAACCCCGGTGCGGGTGCGGGCGGTGGCCTTGGCGGCCCGCGGAAGGAGTCGTTCGGAGGGTCGTCGTCGGGGTTCCTGGGCAGTGCGCGCTTCCGCGAGGGCTTGTTTGGGGGCAAGAGCACCATGCCCACGCCTGTTGTTGGTGCGACGCCGCGCCTGACTGCCGGGTTTGGGTCTGGGTATGGCCAGGACCATCGTAGTATGGATGTGCCGATCTTGTTTAGACGGGGATGAGACCTGGTTACATAGATGGCTTATGACTGTAATGACAATCCCGACACGACCAGCCTAGACGATCAGGTACACGATCAAGGCCAAGGTCACGGTCAAGGGGCCACCGTATGGCGCAATGGTCAAATGCGCCTGGCTGTGTTCTCGTTTGTGCGGTGGGCGACGAGAACAAGTGGGTTCGAATCCTGCTACGGCCCCCTTTCTGACCCGGCTTGTGCGAGTCGACAACCAGCACACGACAGTGGAGAGGCCCCATTATCGCAGAGCCCGATAGCCAAGCAGCTTGTCTCCACAACACCCACTCCTGCGAGGTTTTCCCCCTTGTGGTTTTCCCTCGCCAGCAGATAAAAAACACCTCCTTCATCCACCAATGCGACATATATCGAACGGCTACTGGAACGATGTGTACACCAGAGGAGTGCATCTGGCGCTCAGCACTGTCCTGATCGGTCCATCATTGGAAGCCCGAAGCTATTCTATAGCTGGGGCACGGATACAAACATACGGTGGTATGATAGAAATTATGGCTAGCCGCACTAGATCCTGAAGTGTCTCCCTTCTTCGATTATCCTGGATGAGTGCATGCTAGACGAGGTTAATGCTTGAATCGTACAGACAACGTGATCGTACCTGTAGCAGTCCTGCTATAGAATTTACGGAGTTTAACCCCACATAAAATTTATAGGCGTTCGATGTGGTTGGCCAGCGGCTATTACCGGAGACAGTGAGTGCGGACTCAACCTTGTACATGAGCTGTGTCGTGATCCGCTTCATATCTTCGATGGCGTCAGTTTTCAAGGTTGCACTTGACCTTAAATCTGCGTATGTGTGGTTCACTTCCTTTGTTGTTTAATGACATCTAAAAATAGTGCAGTAAGGTAAGGGCGTGACGTCGTACTTATCTTAACGTCGCCAGCTAGATTTAGTAGAACCTTGCTTCCGATAAACGTTCCACACTTGACCTTCTCGCTCTCAATATATGACAACCCATCTAGTAACTTCAAGGTGGTTAGCAGCTATGTGGTATTATATGAAATCATCCGTACCTGACCAGGATGGCGCCAAGCTGGACTTCGCTGGGATAAGCAGGGCAGGCCACAAGGCACTCGAGGGTGGTGAACATCTCTTCGAATACGATATAGAGACTTTGATCTGTCGAGAAGGCCTCTAGAGCAGTGACGATGTTTCTATGTTGGATTTTTCGGCACCAGTATAGGACTTCACCTGCTTCTTTGGCTGGGAATTCTTTGATCATGACACACTTATAGGGCTGTTGCTTTTACACTGCGATTGTAACATGCCCGCACATGTCTACTTGGTGTGCCATTTTATATTGCTCATGCGGTGGGCCCCGGTGCCTTCTGAGAGCTGCATTCGGCTTGTCAGTCCTCACTTGTTTCTTGGGCCGCTTTTCGCAAGCTGGGCCCTGGGGCAAGCACGGCTAGGGTATTCTGCGGCGGTCTCTAAGTTCCGTCTCATGGCCCAGCGGATGCTCCATGCCACCAGGGATGCTCGAGAATTAGGGAAAAATTGGGCATCCAAGTTCCTGTCTCGAAACCCGGAAGTCAAGATAATGAAGTCTCGTGTTATCGACTACAACCGAGTGAATGGTGCTACAGCGGCAAACATCAACATTTTTTTCGATCGGTGTGACGCCCCTGACGTGGCTAACCTCATGCCAGCACGCTGGTACAACGTCAACGAAATGGGAATCGCCCAGGGGGTTGGGGACTCCCATTGGGTGGTCTCCGAGGCCTCCGGCAACGTGGCTATGAAGAAAGGGGTCGAGAAGGGTGAATGGATAACTGCCCTAGAGTGTGTGAGTGGATCTGGTGAGACCTTGCCGCCGCTGGTGATTCTCAAGGGGATTAACGTACAAGCCCAGTGGTTTAGCAACCAAAACGAGGGCAAATTCACCAACTGGAGGTTTACTACGTTGCACAATGGATGGACCTCGAATCCCATTGCGTTAGAATGGCTTCAACGTATCTTTATTCCTCACATTCGGGAGGTCCACGGCAACACATGGGTGGTTTTGGTGTGTGATGGCCACGACTCCCACACGAATGACGAGTTCCTAGCCACCTGCTTAAGAAACAAAGTATGGTTGATCTTTTATGAACCTCACTGCTCCCATGTAGTCCAGGTGTTAGATGTGGGAGTCTTCAATTTGGTGAAGAAGAGGTTGAAGACCTTACTCCAGGAGACGCCCAGCGGCCGTCTGGGACTCAGGCCATCTAAGGAGGAGGTTTTGGAGTGCTACGAGCAGGCCCGGAAGGACACAATGACGCTCCTCAACATCAGAATTGCCTGGAAAAAGACTGGGATTGTTCCTCGCAACAGAGCGGAGGCGTTGAAGTCGAAATATGTGATTCTGGAGGACAAGGGGGTGGCCAGGGCCCGCCAGAGGGACCCTAAGGCTTCCGAGCGAGCCACAACACCAGATTTTCTCGAGATGGTAGCTAAAACCATTGTCACAACACCCTCTGGAAGCCGGGCTTTGCGGGAGAGTGCTCGAAAGCTCGAAAGAAAGGACCCTTCCTTTGGGGGGCCCTCTGAGCGCTTGTTGGTGCGGAAGGCTGGCAAGGCCATGGATGTTCAGGCTGCTACCATTGCAAATCTACGGGCCAAATGTGAGCTGCTTGAGGCTCAAGTGGCTAAAAAGGCTAATACCACTCGAAAAGCAGTCAAACCAACACCAGGGGAACGATTCGTCACAATGGCTAACATAAGGGAGGCCAAAATGGAGCTGAGGAACAGGAGGGTCTATAGGGACTCCGCTGCAGGCGAAGAGGTCCCACAAGAGGTCCCTGGTGAAGATTTAGGGTCGGAATCGGATTCTGGGAGCTGTATTATGGTTAGAACACCACGACCTTAGTGTATTTAGCAACTGTGGTGGTTGTAGATGGCTTCATCTGAATGAGAGTGGTGTGGTGTGGAGTGGTCCGTGGGGGGGTGGTCCGCAGGGGGGGGTGAGATGTTAGCGGTTGATAAAGAGGCATGCAGGGCGGCAGATGATCGCCAGCAGTCCACAAAGTGGAATGAGAATTTACAGATAGATCGGTGATCTGCTATCGTCGTCGCAAGGCATTCTGCGCGTCAGGCTGTATGAACATGGAGGCAGTACGCATCTTTGCTGTGCGTGCCTTGGTATTAGCTGTGATCCTGGCAAGGTGCATGGGAGCTGTTAGAAGCTGAAACGCAACGAGTTCACGGTCAGTATAAAAGGGAAATCTAGTCAAAATAAGGCGAGTACACAGCCCATTCAAGATTGAAGTTGCATATGGTTTGGCTAACGGGTGGGTGACAGTGACCCTCAAAGGCAAGGTCCACATTGATCATCGGTGGAGGCATTGGGACCACTGGTTCCCTTGCAACTCCAAGTCGCTATGGACACATGCGGCTGCTTCGTTTGCTTTGTTTCAGGAGCTTGTTCCTTACTTAAACACCGTCATTGAACGATCAAATGTCACTCATATACCGCTCGCCAGTATTATCCAAGCTCTTCAGATAAGCGCGGTGACCAGCTCTTGCCTAATGATGTTCTTTCCGGTTCCTAAGTTTCTTTCCATCTTACCAGATAGTTAGACCTCCCAATCTGGGACAAAGTCTTACTTGACAGAGCAAGAACTGCTTATCCGCACCCCAACGTCTGGATAATCATCACCACCTAATTTACCTTCCTCCATCCCTTCGCTCTGCTCGTGGTTCCCACTGTGATCGTACGCCCCTCAGTACATATACCTGCGGGCGCACTCAGCAGAAGCAAACAGCAAACTTCATCAGTACAATATAGCAGGCAAGGTCTGAGAAGAAGGTGCGTCTAACAGATTGTACTGTGGCACAATTTACTCAAATGCTCACGGTTACGCAGTCACCAACATTTCTCTAGAAGTAACGCGACAAGTTCTCGTCTATCGCGAGTTAATGCCCCCAACGCATAACACTATGTGACATGTCTAAGAGCCTAATTTGGATTTCTAATTCTTTTTACGCTTAGTCAAAATTTGCCGTGGGACGCTGCCAGTTCTGGCAGACAAATCCGACTTTCTTACGCTTAGAAGGCTTTGATTTCGTCAGGGCATACTCCAGAACCTGGATTTTCGCAAGGGCAGAGGCCGTATCAACAGCTGAAGTATCTAGAGCCTTGCCGACCTTCCTCAACAACAGACGGGCCGTGGGAGTCGCGAGAGCTGGGCTCACACCCAACAGCTCCTGAGCCAACCTGCTAACGTCCCTAGAGCTTCTAGGTGTCCCTATTGCCGTAAGAGTCATCTTCTCGTGAAAATCGGGTGTTGACTGCCCAGTGGGGAGCAATAGGGAGCAGTGTCTGCTATCAGCTTCAGTTATCCTGACAAGTGCTGCCGTCTGGCAGCCGGATGACAGCTGGCAGATAGATTTGAAGAAAAGGCTCAAAACGCCCCATCACTATTGTTATCAAGAGCCGCCCAAGTCGTCGATCGGCACCTGTTGAATGGTGTTGAATGGGAGCCCGAAATAGACACCGGAAGATCTGCAGTGGGGCAGAGACGCACAGAGCATCTGACCCAATCAATCTCTGCACGCTGAAGAAGGAGAGAAGAAGAAGAAGAACAGAATACGCTTGTCAACCTGAATAATCTGAACTCGCTTGCATCTGACAATTAAGAGTCTCATTTGCTCTGAAACAAGTACACCTGCGAAAGATCAAGCGACTTTTAGATCTGTATATCACCAAAATAACGACATCGAACACCGATCGCACTATCTTCTCTCGCCCCGAAGACTGGGAACGATTCAACGCCGAATTCCAGACCAAAGCCGTAGCCTTTGACCTCTGGGATTACATCAATCCAGAAGACAAGGTTGCCTGGCCGACACAGCCAGAAGAACCCTCATACGCCAATTACCCGAAGAAGCTCGGCCGAGGAACGAGAACATCAAGCTCGATAACCGTCGGTGGAGAAGAAGAGTCGGTCGACCCGAATGGAACGCCAACAAACACCATGGAAATGACACAGATT